CTGCAAAACGGAGTTGTTCCACCAGGCCTATGGCTAAGGCTCATGACTGAAGAGAAGAACTTCATCTGTTGGGCCCTGTCCTGCTTCTTTTTGTGGACCTCCTCCACGTTTTTGATGCCATTAAATTCTCTTAACGGATACTATGATACTACATTGTTATGCCATCTGACTGTTATTAATTGATGTTTAAATTGTTTTAATTGATTTATAATTGTTTTATAAATATGTTGGTACTCACCTTGAGGCCTGCAGTAGCAGGGGAGGGTGAGTCAGAAATCAAATCAAATTATATATATATGGAGGAAAGGGCTCTGTGTTATACAAGATCGTGTGCAAGTAGAATTCTGCTAAGTCTATTTATTTTTCTGCTTGCACCTCGCTGGATGCAAGCCATGGCCTTAACCTCAAAACTCCATAACTATTTTAACCGAGTCCTTACTGATACTTTAGTGCAGAAGGCAAATGTTTCTTTTAGGTTTACTTTATGGTTTACTGCACAGCCACGCACTTTTAAAACTTTGTGCCAGTTCACAGGACCACTCTTGGACTAACTCAGCTGAAAATTGCTTGCTTGTGATCTGGGCTCTAAATGTGCCCAACCCACTTGGAGCCAGTGTGGTGGTTACGGTGGCAAACTACGACTGGGAGACTGAAGTATGAATCCCTACACTATGGAGATTTACTGGGTGACCTTGAACTCATCCTAATCTACCTCACAGGGTTGTTGTGAGGATAAAATGGAGGCAAGGAGAATGATTTAAGTCACTTAGGATCCCCAGTGGGGGAAAAGGAAGTGTGCAAATGAAGTAATTAAAAAATAATTAAAATAAATAATTTTGGGGGAAGTTTTGGTGGAACACATGATTGCAAACAGTACTCCTGATAAAGATCAGGACTGGGTCACTGTGAATTTCTTTTGAGCCCAGACTGAAAACAAACAGGTTTGTAATGAGCATGAGGAACATGTGAATTTATCCTGAGTCTACATGATGCAAACTCCTGATTGTATTGGTCTGATATCACACAAGTACAGAGCTCTCTTGAGAGAGGTTTTTAAAGATAGGACTATAAGATAAAAGATAAACAATCAATTTAAGTTTCCAGACAGGAAATAAATCAGTTTCTTCCAATATATGTAGAATCCTGGATGGAAAGGAATATGTACATGGGCCATTAAAAAAGAGAGAGAGAGAGGAATAGACAGCCAACTTCATAGTATATAGCAAACTAATCCAAAATAAACCAGAAAAATCTTCACAATGCAACAGACAACTAAACGGGACTCCCTGTTGACTTATACATTCTCTTATCTGAGTGTGATCTATAAAATGACCCCAAACCGTACTGACATTCAAAACCTGTACAAAGGATTTCCAGTCATCCAGAATGTGGAGCTATATCATTTTATTTGCTTAAAGCATTTTTTGTGCTAGCCACAGATAAGCTTTGATAGATTGCCCAAAGAACTGTTTAAAAGATGCACAGCTCTCCATCACTTTGCCCCCCTGTACTGTGCCTGGAATCTTAAGCAATTAACAGGCTGTGACAGGAAATTGGACTTTAGTCCCGTTATTGGCTGTGATTTCATTATCACTATTATTATATCTGACCGACTTGCAATTGCTACAAGATTTACTTTCACTTTGCAAATGTCAAGAAAGAAGATTTGTCAAGCAGATGGACAATTGCTTTAGCCATCATCCCTGCTAATTGGGAGGAATGATGCCAAGCAAATAAGAGCAATGTAATCCCTTACTTGGAGGTTGCCTTTTTCTTTTTCTTTTAAAGAATGCACAGTTCAGAGAGGAAAATAGTATGAATGTGCA